ACACAAGATAGTATGAAGAAAATTAACTCTATCCCAGTCAAAACCAGTACAGTGGGGCACTGCCCCATGCTCACCCTGTGCTGGCACCAAGGCTGCACTGGGGCTTGGCTGGCCCCTTGGCCATGGCTGCCACAGGAGCAGGTCCCACTGGTGTGAGGGCTGGGGGTGGGAGGCAGGCAGGGCACAGAGGGGAAGGCGAAGCAAAGCTCAGGGCACTATTGCCTGTGTGAGGTCTGCAGGGGCCACCAGAAGCACATGCTGGGGTGCGGGGACTGTGCCCCTGCTCAGACCCTTCCCCTGCACCTACATCCAACACCCCTGGCCCCCTCCTCCTGAACCCCCAAACACCTTCCTAAAGCCCTGGCTGTGAGCCCCAGGAGTGGCACTGCCGGACCCTGCTGTGGCAAGGCAGGTGTGGGTGGACCTCAGTCTCCACGTCCAGCCATCACCTATCCAGGTTCCCTGTCTGCAGGTGACAAAATGCCTGCAGCCTGCGTCCCCTACCTGCCTGGGCCCTCCTGCCCCAAGCCTGCTGCACAGAGGCAGGGCTCGCGTCCGCACGTGGCAGCAGGGTCTTCACCCTCTGGCCATGCACGCAGGGGAGAGAGACAACCCAGACCTCCATCTTCAGCCCAGGCTATTTTGTGAGCACAAACAAACAGCAAGAAAACAGCAAAGCTGACACTTCTCCTCCTCATAGGAACTCTTTGCTAGCTGTCTTATGAGGTAAAAACAATGATGATCTAATCAAATCTGACAAGAAATCAGCCAAAAAAATTCAGAGTTATCAAGAAGACTTTCAAATCTGGATTTACATTCACTACCATTAGCAGTGAACTTAAGTGCGTACTGTGCTTTGAGATACGAGCTATTGGTAGTAGGAAGACATCACGACTAGCAAGTCATTTAAAAAATGAAGCATCCAGAACACAGACAAACCTGCAATACTGACATCACTAGGGATTTTCCAGCTTGTTAGCCCTGGAAACAGGTGTGCAACATGACCAACCACACATACCCAGCTGGGACCAGCCCCCTGGACCACTGTGGAGCCAATTGATCAGGTTTTCTTCAGAGGACCTGGCCTCTGCCAACTGGGTGTTATACTGCAGAACTGCAGAACTGGAGAATGACCACCTCTGTGTGGTCTGCACCCACCACAGAAGCATTAACTTCTTCCATGGTATCTGCTGTAATCTGTGCAGAAAGACTTGTGCACAGCTCAACCTTGAGGAGTATCAGGAGACCTCAGCATATACTGCCCTTTCCAATAGTTTTGCTAGCCAGCTTTATAATCCACCAATAGCAGTTTAGGGACAGCAACAAGGGAAATCGAGCAAGCCCCAGACTCTTCCCAGCTCTGCTGGTGATGGTCTCAGCTGTCCTTAACCACCTATGCCTGCAGCATGCTAACAGCAGACCAGAAAAATCACAGAATAGGAAAAAATTAATTTCCTATGTCATTTACCCCAGATAACTTCACTTGCTTTCTTGCACACTCTAGACAAAAAACAGACTCCACTCCAGTCATTTCCAGGAAACAAACAGCGTAATCTGAAAAACTTTCAATCTAAATCTGACACGTCTGAAGTATGGAAGAATCACCTGAAGTTTGACTGTGGTTAGTAGCTCAGATGTCAATAGAGGTGGCTGTGAGAATGACAGAGGGTGGTGGTATGCCAGCTAAGGCTGACGATGGTGCCTATTTCAAGGGAAAGGATTGAGCATACCGATGTTGCTCTCCTTTTCAGTCTGACAGCTTTCACATGGAAGGATCCCAGCCCTGTGGGAGATACACAGCACTGGTTAGCTCAGTGTAAACACCATATACCCTCCAGCCAGGAATTTCATAGAATCGCAGAATGGTTTGGGTTGGAAGGGACCTTTAAAAGTGATCTAGTCCAACCCCCCTGCAATGAGCAGGGACACCTTCAACTAGATCAGGTTGCTCAGAGCCTTTGTCCTTCGTTAAGTTTTAGCCAACAACACACTAGAGAAATTGCCTGATCTTGTAGCTGACCCTGCTTTCAGCAGGAGAGTGGACCAGAAGCCTCCTGAGGTACCTCCAAATCAAATTATCCTATGAGAGACAACACCTAGCCTAGTGAGACAGAAATGGAGCTGCCACTATAACAAGAAAACACAAGTCCTTGCAAGGAATTGCGACTTGGCCAAGGTGAAACAAGGAGCAGTAGAATGCATTAAGTAAATTGAAATGGATTTTTACATAATCATCTAAAAGGGATAAGAGATCAGGACTGCCATCCACTGGGAGTGAGCAGTACTGCAGAGGAGGAAAGTTTTGACAGCTGCCAACTGGGAGGTGTTCGGGTCCAGAGAGTACCAAGAGTCTCTACCACCCCTTCCCCCAACACCCCAGGCATTTTGCTGCCTCTATTCAAGCCGACCTCTCACAGGGTGCATCTGTGTAACATGGGAGCAGACTGATGTACCAAGACCTGAGCTGTGAGCAAGAGCTGTGGGAAGCTTCATTCGGGACCTCCACCCACACACCCTCTGCCCATTGGCTTGGGAGTTGCATTGAAATTCACTTCCCCCGCCTTGGAGCAGCCTGTTCTTGCTGCTCCCTGGCTGTTAGTTGAGTCTTTCTCAAGCCCTGACCTGACTATGACTGGACCAGGCCCTAAGGCTGTGCAGTACCCTGAGGCCCAAACTTGCAAACTAAGTGCTGTGAGTCTTACACCCTGGGGACCCCCTGGACTTCATGGCGAGTCCCTCAGCTATGTCCCCCTGGACACATCAAATGTGACCCAGCAGCAAACGAGGACTGATTCATAGTGACCCTGAGACTGTTGACCCAACTGAAGTGAGCCCAGGTGGGGCTCAGGCACCAAAGCACACAGCAGCGTGTCCAGCCCTGGGGTACCGGCTAGGCTCGGGAATCCTCACACACAGCAGTGTGCCCAGCTCCATGTACCATCAGGGCTTAAGGCCCTTGCACACAAACCCAGCCCTGATGCTCTTGGAGAGGCTTGGGGATCCTTCTCCCAACAGCAGGTCCAGCGGGTGCATTTGTGGGGCTCAGAGACCTTTGCATGCAGCAACATTGCTCTTACTGGTGCACTAGAGGGATTTGAGGATGCTTGCGCACAGCAGCTGACCCAGTGCCAGCGCATCAGTGGAGCCTGGAGACTCCTGTGCCGAGCAGCTTGCAGAGCTCTGAGCTACCAGTAAGGCTCAGGTATCCATGTACACAGCAGCATGTCCAGTGCCGGTCTACCAGCAGAGCTCAGGAAGCCTTGCACATAGCAGCCTTTTCTTCCCAAGGCTACTGGTGAGGCTCATGAATGCTTGCCCTGTGGGCTCCATGACCTGCTCTGTGGAACTGGCAAGGCTCAGCCACCCTCACACTCAGACACAGCTGCATGACCAACCCTGGGACACCAGTGAGACTCCGGTACCCTCACACACAGCAGCGTAGCTATGCCTGGTGCAGTGGCAGGGCTCAGAGACCCTGGCACACAGCAGGTTGCCCATCCCCAGGGTAACAGCAAGGCTCAGGAATCCCCACACTCAGCAGCATCTTCAGTCTGGGAGTACTGGCAAAACTTGGGAATCCTCACACAGAGCAGCACACATTTCCCAACTCTGGAAAACAGACAGGGGCTGAGAATCAATGCACGCAACAGCGTGCCTAGTTTCCC